ATAGCACCCTGAGCGGGTGCTCCTGAAGAAGGGGAATTTCAGTGATACAAAACCATGTTTATCGCTCCAAGATGTTTAAAGGGAGCATGGGCGACCATATTACTTGAACTGTGAGAGATAGGAACATTCCTCCATTTATCGCTTTCCACTGGTAAGATAAAAATGATTTACCTATTGTCGAGGCCGTGTTGAAAATACATCAAAGCTAGGGTATTCCTTGCTTGGCTAGAAACATAGGGAGGTTGAGAGAGGAAGCATGTTTGTTCCAAGCCAACAGGATGTTGTGTTGGAGCGGCCTTGAATGGAATGGGCAAATGGTACAGCTTTAAGGAATCATGAAGCCCAGAACACTCATGGAAATCTTAGAGGGATGTCTTTAATATTAGCGCCTGAGTATGAGATCAGAGAGACAAGTTTGTTTTCTGGAAGACTTGCTTGAGCTGTATCTAGAATAAGGTACAGGTATTCCAAACAAAGGGAAGGTTGGAGAGCTGATACTTGAAAGCTGATCACCAAACCAAAAGCCTGAAGTATCTGAATAACTCTTGCAGCAGTTTTGGAAAGGGAAAGGAAGCCATTGATTATATGAGAAACTGTGGCATAGTTGCAGAGAAGTCTTCCTAAATCAGATAGGCTGCTTGTTGCATGCTAAAATGGAGCTAGAATTGGATGCAGAAAATGGTGCTAAAATAAGGTCCTGCTCTAGTGCAAGGGAAGCATCATCGCTTTGAGCTGTTTGCAGGCATTTGCCAGAGTGGATGCTTGTCTTCGCTTTTGCCACAGCCCCCCTGTGCCTGGGTTCCTCTATTGTTTCAGTGAGGGTTTTCCACTGTGGAGGACCCATGGAGTAAGATACAGAAAGTGAGGGAGGGAAGAAGCACCAGAGTATGTTAGCATACCTAAGGCCTGTGAATACAAAAGCCTGTGTCCTGTATGATTACATAAGATAATACTTTACATGCCAAAGGGTATGCAAACATAGGATTATCTTTCAATAGATCAGATGATGATTTGACAAACCTGAATGATAATGAAGAATTTTTTTTTGTGGCAGAAGGAAAGAGCAGGCATCTGTCAAAATAATTACTAATGATTTGGAAAATTTCTCTCTGCAGCTGGTCATTTGACAAAGATATTACGAATTACCAATTTTGTTTTTGTGTGTTTGTCACCTGCTTGTCTGGCAGTGGCTCACATGCTGGGCATCCAATTGTAAAGCAGTCCTCCATCAGGAGTTTGCTGTGGGTTCAGCCTCTGTCAGACAGTTGAAACTTGCTTACCCCCCCTTCTTCTGCTTTTCTCCAGGATTCTGCTGACTAATGCTCAGGTACTGCTTTGGCCTGTATTAACATTCCTAACCTAGTCCACATTTTGAACTGGTCACTCCATTCATGGCCCATAACAAAACAAAATAACCTTGGAAGGGGAAAAAAAAAAAAAAGGTTCCCCTGAAGTCGGCTGCTAAAGATGTAGAGTGCTGTTGCAACAGCAGTTATCATAACTGAATTGAACACCCCTTAAGGTTCGTATGTACTGTACACTATATAGCCAATAGTTTGTAGATACTTAAAAATCACCCCCAAACTACCCTTTAACCCTGCACATACACCTAGCGCACGTTTTCCCACCTTGTGGCTATAATTGCCTTCACTGCTCTGGGAAGTCTAAAAGATTTTAAAGTGTGAATGTATGCTCATTCAGCCAAAAGATAATGTGGCTGAAGAAAAATTTGACAGCGTCTTGACCTGACTTTTGTAAAAGTTTTATCTTCACAGAGAAAAATATCCCATTTTTCACAATCACACCTTTTCCATGTCATTAGTTTCCAGCAACACCTAAATGTGTGAACAGCGATTTACAAGGATGAAGTACACAAGAGCAAAATTAGAACCAAAATATCTGATGAGGATCTTGAGAATCAATTGGAAATTGCTACTACATCCATAGACCCAAAATATTTGACGTATTAGTTTATCAAAAACAATGTCAAATATCACACTAGCTTTACATTGCCCTCTTTTACTCTTAAAATAAAAAATACAAAGAAAAAAAAACATGTTTTTATTACTCAGATAAGCACATTATCTATATCAGTTATCATTAACTTGCTGTTCTGCCCAAAGTTTTTCTTGCTTATCAGCTATATTGTTAGTGTATTTTATGTGTGGCCCAGGAAGGTCAAAAGGTTGTGTTATATTATAGTACTACCACATCAACTGCCAATACGAGCCTTAGGGTTTAGCAATCTATTGACTATTTAAGTCAGTGAGCAAACTTTGGTGAAGACTGAAGAAGATACCTTGCTAGTCAACTTTGATTAAAGTGCTCCCGCCTTTTCTTCTGGATAAAGAAACAATCACTTTTTATTTCAGACGTGGCCATACATTTGATTGTCCTGTAAGCTTAATGTGCCCACAGACAATTAGGTAACCAAACCACCTGCCTTTTGAAAAATTGACTTCTGTTTAAACAACATTCAAACAACAATGACACACTTGGAATATTTTGGCACAGCATGTCAGAGGTATTGGGTATGAAGAAAAAAAAGATGCGCCCTTACTAAACTACTTGGGGAAACAAATAATGAGCGTTATTACAGTACAGTAAATTCACATAATGGATACTCTAAAAATTATCTTTAAAATGTCCTTAGGCGCTATACAACATAACAAGCATCTAAATGAATCCCCTCATCTGCATTGTTTGAATTTGTAGATATCCATCTATGAAGGAAGAAAAATATTTGTGCAGTGTGTCACTGGCACCATTTTTACAATACCTGGCAACGTATATGCTTTGAATTTGCGGTATCCACCATGTCCCTGCAATCTGGATATAGCTCTAAAATATAACATCAAAGTAATCCCAAGACACTTCACCAAATATTGTTTGACTGTTAGATAGGCTCCTGTGGTTTGTTTGCAAGCTGGATGGCAAGTTGAGCTGGGACTGTTTCTCTTTCATTGTTTGACATACGTCGCCCTTCCATGTGTTCCTTGCTGTTATGACTGTTATAGACCAGTTATAGACTGGGGCAGTGGCCATTTTTTGTACTGTTGACTTGTTGGTTAGGGGGCACACTGGACACCTTGGATGACATTGTGCTATATGCTGGGTGTCCAGTGCGCTCCTACACCTTTAAGGAGAGGTGGGCTCCCTCAGGTTCATCTGCCCTTAGTCTATTAAATATATGTGCCTCTACTATGGGGGATCTCAAAATTTGTAGAGTTAGGAACTGCAGAATATCACAGTGCCGTGAAGATGCTCTGCAGTTTACGCATGTATTTAAAATGTGTGCAAACTAAACCCCTGTTTTTAACGCATACTGCTAGACAGGCTCATTTGGTTTGTTTGTAAGCTGGTTGGCAAGTAGAGCTGGGAATTTTTCTTTTTTATTGTTTGACATGCGTCACCCTTCCATGTGCTCCTTGCTGTGAAGGCCAGTTATAGACTGGGGCAGTGGCCATTTTTTGTACTGTTGACTTCACCAAATATTACCTGAAAAAAAAAAGTATTTTGATGTAGCTACAAATTGCAGGTGTGACATTAACACAAGATTTTATGCTGAAAAACAAAAAGATTAGCTACTAAAGTTAACCATTTTATAGCTGGCTCAAAATGCTACCAAAAATGTGAATCTTATTAACGGTGTCAAAAACATTTGACTGTTGTAATTCATAGTACATAGAGATTTTGTAGCTGCAATAAATGTAATTATGTGACTGAATGCCTTGGTCTTATTGCAATAGTGCTTAGTTTATGTACAGTCTGGTGACTTGTGTTACAGCATTGAAAAGCCTCCAGATACATAGGCAAAACTACAAAAGCAAAACGAAAGTCATTCTACAACAAAGGCAAAACTAAACTTCATATTCATTACTGACAAATAGATCACCTGAATTTGCAAGTTTTTTGCAATAAGCATAACATTCCAGCTGAATACCTAATAATCCATATTTTTCAGTAAAGTGCTTATTGTCTGCATAGAAGAAATTAGTGAAAATTCTACAAAATTGTGTGTGCTGATCAAAAAATTTAATTTCTGCATTCACAGTCATCCACGCAGTTACTTTTAGACAATGAAGCGTTAGGTGCCACTAACATTTCAAAGGTCAAAAAGGCAATCCAGAGCACTAAGTACTTTTAGTGAAAATAAAACAAAAAACAAAGCAAACACAGGCCACATACAGTAATGTAAAAGCCTTTAGTTCAAATGTAAATTCTTACTTGGGCTAAACAAGTAGGACTGAACACAGTACATGAAGGCTGTGAAATATACTTCTCTCCAGTGGTTGGTAAAGGTTTGCACACTGAGCACTTCTAAACAAGTGGTACACCTAATAAATTACAAACTTACTGACACTAGCTAGTGTTTAGAGAGGAAGAAGTTTTGTGAGGAGCAGCAAATCAATGAAATAAGGGTATGGCGACAATTTGTATGTACAAAACTCAGCTTTACCCTTAGGACAGGACAGAAAAATGAGGTGTTGTTGGAATTCACTTTTAAAGGTGCATTTGCAAAATGTGCCTTCAAGGAAGAGCTGAGAACAGTCAGATCACAATTCTTGCACCAAGACAATTCTGAGTGTAAAATTATTAAATAAACTCTAAATAAATATTCCAGCATATAACATATTCACAATGAAATCTCAATGCCAGGTAGCTAAATGTACAAAATTCATACATTGCATTTTTTTTTACATTATTAGTCAGTCTTATTAAACTGATTTATATTGCAACAGACTGTGTAATGCACTCAATATTTCATGAATGTCTGTCACACCATGTCTGTTACTATGTTACAACCTTAGCAGCAGCATCATTTTTTGCATGTCCTTATTTACACAGTGTTTCAGCATACATACAGAATATTTATAAAGCAGAATATTAAAGCTTAAGCTTTAGGTGAACAAACCTATGTTCCCTCATGAAAAGAAAAACTGGTTAGAGTAAAATGCACTTTGAGGAATTTAAGTTTTGTGTTTTCACATAACTTTCAACTACGTGCTAGTGATAGGGAGGTGAAAATCATTGTTGTCAAAGATCAAGGGTCTCTTAGGTGGATCAGGATCCTTGTCAGCTTTATGCAGAAGCTTAAAAAGTCCAGTTCCAATGTTCATGGGTATGCCCATAATTATGCACTCGGAGACTCCTAATGGAAGAGACAAGATTATGAGTACTGGTTTGTCAAGTAACAAGTTCAGCCTAGGAAAAATACAATTGCAAATTAAAGTAGTAATAATAGTACCTTGAATCTTTACCAAATGCCCCATGCCCTTTTTGATCTTTCTTTAATTTGCTAAGCAGTATTGTTAACCCCTTCCACCTTCTAACCACACTGTGAGCAAGATGGATACTTTCATAATTCAAAAAGAAAAAAGACCAATCAGTGCTGCAGGGCTGTGTGTGTGATCTGCTGGCACACTGGATGTTTGCCAGCAGCCAGAACACACAACTCCACAGCGCTGACGGATCTTTTAAGATTGTAAATGAACAGTCAGTGTTGCTAGGACTCTGAATAGACAGAATGTATGCAATTGGGAGGGAGATGAGGCCTAGTTCTGAGCTCTAACTCCCCCATAGGAACACCCATAAAATCTGCTTTAGCCTGGGGTGGAACTACAGCACAGCATGAAATAAAAATAGGTATTTTGACTAACCTGTAAATTCCTCATCTTGGAGTACAGTGCAGGCCACATGACTTGTATTCATAGACCATAAAATATATGCAAGGTACCTTCAGCTGACTTGACACTAGCAAACAATTGCTGGGGCAGCCCCTAGTACACAATCCTACATAACTCCGCCCACTCAGACTGCAGTTTTTAAGCAAGCAAGAAGGAACAATTTAAGAGACAAAAAGGAGGGGGGGGGGGATTAAGCAGATAGGCATTTGCATGTCTACTGATGTCCAAAATTTCCCTTGTTCAAGAGACACGGTGACAGACCTTGTTAATTCCTTCTGGAATTTTGGCACATGAAGATATCTGTTTTGAGATCTTAAGTCCAGTATTGGGGAGATGCCCTCAGTTTCTTTAAGGATTGTAAATATGTTTGAATAGAAACCTTGAAACAGTTCTTCTAAAAGGAATTGGTACAACCATCCTTTGGGCCCCTCCTTCTGTGTGAAGGGCTTCTGGATAGGCTTGGTGAACTTAGGAACCCAGGGCTTTAAACAAAAAGGAAGAATTAAGCCTTTGTTTTGAGGTTATTGCCTAGGGAGACAGAAAAGACCCCTTTTGCTATGTAAATGTTGTAGCTGTAGGAAAATTAGGCTTCTCTGTGGAAGGCAAAAGCACCTGTCCTGCAGTGACTTCCTTGATTAATTTATCATGGGATTCTCCAAACAGGCATTCATCATCAAAAGGCATATGTAGAAGAAGCATCATACTCTGCGAATCACATTCTCTAGAGCATCAACAAAAAGCAAAAAGGCTGAGGGCATCAGCTGTATTTGCTCTAAGAGAACAGGGTCTTCTAAGATAGGTTCCTGGTCTATATTAGTCTTGTCCATTTAGCAAAAGTCTGGCAAATAAGACGCTGCAGCAGGGCTGGACCTACAAGAGCAAATAAGGCTTTCTAAGAGGGCTTCAAAACAAACCTTGAAAGAAGGATTATCCTCAATGGGAACTATAAGGTGTTTACTGAGGAAGCAAATGCAGCATCCACAAATGGAACAGACCAGTTTTTCTTAACTGCTTCCATACCGGGCACTTTTACCCCCTTCCTGCCCAGGCCATTTTTCAGGTTTCTCACAATTTGAATGACAATTGCGCGGTCATACAACATTGTACCCAAACTAAAATGTTATTTTCTTCACACAACTAGAGCTTTCTTTTGGTGGTATTTCATCACCACTGGGGTTTTTATTTTTTGCTAAATTAACAAAAAAAAGACCAAGAAGTTTGAAAAAAAACCCCACGTTTTTCTTTGTTTCTGGTATAAAAGTTTGCAAATAAATAATTGTTCTTCATAAATTTAGGCCAAAATGTATTCTACTACATGTCTTTGGTGAAAATAACCCAAATTAGTATTTATTATTTAGTCTGTAGGAAAGTTATAGAGTTCACAAACTATGGGATATATCTGAAAATTGATCAATCTTGAAGTACTGACGGCCAATCTAATTTCTTGAGGTCCAAGAATGAACAGTACAGATATCCCCCAATTGGCTTCTTTTTGCAAAGTATACAGTCAGACGTATTTCATAACAGGCATGGCGAGTTTTTTGAAGTTGTATTTTTTTTGTCATAATTTTTTGGAAATGAATAAAAAAAATGATTTTCACAATTTTTTTTTTTTTTTTTTTTATACATACTGTCACCAGTACAGTACAGCGTCATCATATAACTGGCATGGCGGTGATCAGGGACACTGACTGGTGACAGTACGAAAAAAAAAAATTATAATTTTTAAAATTTTTTTTTTATTATTTTCTCTTTAAGATTTGTTTTCATATTTCACTATGACCAAAGTAGTACAATGTTACCATAGTAACATTGTACTACTTTGGGAAAGTGATCAGTATTTTTTTTTTTTTTTTTTACACAATTTGCTTATAGCAGAGAATTACTTTGCTATAAGCAAGCATTTACCTGAATGAAGTCGATTTATTCAGGATTTTTTTTCTTCTTAACTGTGATTTGGCCACAGCTAAATCACATGACACAGCTGGGCTGTGATTGGCCCAGCTTGTGCATGTGATAGCTGTGACCATTCACAGCTAGACACACTTGTTTACAATGGATGGCTTCCTTTCATGCCATCCATTGTATACAACTGTCATGTGACCTGCTGTGATTGGTCACAGCAGGTCACATGGTACCGGCAACGGGGCTGGTATACAGATCTGTCATCGGCCGTGTCCGAGGTACACGGCCAGTGACAGATCGTGCCGCTGCGCGGCTCTGCGGACAGTCAAACTGCGCATGCCTGAAAGGACGCCATATGGCGTCCACCCGGAGGGGCGAGGTGTTTTGCCGGCCGCCATCTGGCTATAGGCTGTACGGGAACCTGTTAAATTCCTTTTCATAGGAGAATTTCTAGCCTAGCAAATTATTGAGAGGAATGAATATTCTCACAGGATTGGGCCAGTCCTTGTGTAATTGAGTATATGGGAAAAGTCATTTTTGACTGGGCCAGCCTTTTAGTGTCCATGGGGGACAGTTTGGGTTTTTGAGAATCAGGTGCTGCTAGGAAAAGACTAGTATGCAATGGATCAGATAGTGAGCCCACTTTAGAGAGCATCTGGATCAAAGCTGTAGACTGTATCTCAAAATGCAAGGGACAGAAACTCCGATCACTACTACAAAATCGGCATAATCAACGCTTCATATCAATCAAGTAGGGTAAGTGGTTTCTCTTCCAAATTCTACACAGAATCATGGGGAACAAGGAAAAAGTGTAGCATTTCTGGCCTCTGGAAAGCAAAGGTTCTAGAAGCACCAAATGTTTTCCAAGGAATTCTGACATTTTGGCAGAGAATTCTGCTTTTGTCAGACAGACTGCATGGCACACACCTAAGAGGGAGCCAGAGTCAGATAATGGAAGCAGCACTGGGACAAGGGAACAGTCGTCACCCTGAGCAGTATTTCTACTTTCCTGTAGGCACTCTGCATGAAGTTATGCAGGAATGTTATTCAGCCCTTGTGTCTTACCTCCCTTGTACAAATGAACGGCATTTCCCAAGCAAATGGCTCCTCAGTGAGGTACTCACAGAATGTAGTACAAACTGGATGGTTGGTGGTATGTCCAGAATATAGGAACACTATAACTCAGATGCTCACAGTGCTCCTTTGGCTGTTTTGAAGCCGGTGGGAGTAAGTGTGTCAGCCGGGAGGTGTGTAGCCAACTGTATAGTCCTCCAGATTAAGATGGATCCAGATTAAGAAAAGGATTTACCTGTAAAATCCTTTTCTTGGAACACATCACAGGACACCAGTGTGAAGCTCAAAAGTTTCATCCCAGACATTGTTGCTTTTTATGTGAAGGCTGTCCTTTTAGTTGCCATTGCCTCAGGCTCGAAGGGTCTTTGAGTTGGCTATGCTGCAAAAAACCTTTCCTGATTCTTCACAATGATAAGGCGGTGTTGAGGTCTGAATCCACCTTCTTACCTAAGGTATTTGTTTCTCAATCCACCTAAATCTGGACACTGTGTTATCATTCTTTTAATCCTAAGGAGTAGATACTTCAATACTTGGATGTTTGAGCTGTTCAAATTCTACAGCTTTGTTTCAACAACCAGATTCCCCATTTTGTTCCACCTAAGGGTCTTCACAAAGGTCAGGTTGCTCCTTGATCTATTATTTCTAGGATGCCACCCCAAGCAGTCACATAACTCCTCTGTGTCCTGTAATGTACAATTAAGAAATCAGGATTTTTGGTTTACCTGTAAAGGCATGTTCTAAGAGTAAATCACAGGACACAGAGAACCCTCCCCTCCTGCTTGTGTTGCTTGATAAAAAAATAACAATATGAGGCTTGGTTGAGCTTGGGAGGGTTATACCTGGGAGGGAAGCCCTGTATTTTTGTCCACTGTCCATTCATCTGAATAACCCAATAGTCATGAATATTAATGCCTCAGTGTCCTGTAATGTATGATTAGGAAACGGTCAAATTTGAAAATTGCCTGTGAGAACATTAAAAGGCAAAAATGACAGGGGGACCCACAATAAAGTGAAGAACATCTGATTCCTCTGGCTATGAAAAGCACATTAAGTGCAATGCACTGCAGGTTTGTTTTCCTAAAAAGCAGGAACCCCTAGTGGCCCTACAAAAGGGTTCAGGCTTTGCCCTTCATGATGGGCATATTGATGAGGTATTCAGGGTCTGAGAACCATAGAAATGGGCTAGGGCCCTGGACCAATATAACACTCTGCAGCTAACCACACACATTGCACTCCTTGCCAAGGTGAGTATTAAGTGCCCAAAGCAAACATTACAGGCCAACCTCAGATACAGTGGGTCTAGGTACGGTCCCCATGATTACACTGAATTGTAAACTGCTAGATAATCCAAGGGAGTAAGCAGTCAAACAGCTTGACAGAAGTGTCAGAAGAAAAAATTTTAATGGTTTAAAAAGAAAAAATATTTCTCTAGAGAAGAACAAGTCCATCTCAAAGATACTAGCAAAAACTGGAGTGTGAATGTGGTAAGTGGGGATATAGGAGTGCACACTAAGTGTGGCCCTAGCAAGTTTTTTTTTTTTGCCAGATTCCAATCACCTGAAGGTAGCCTGCCTACAGCCCATGGTCCAAGAATACAAGTCCCATGTCCTGTACTGTATGATTAAGATATGCTGTTATAATGTACAAAGGCTCACAGATCTACAAACACTTGGCCCCTTGGGGACTCAAGAAGAATGTTTAGGTTAACAAGTATTCAAATGTAAGGTGCTTTACTGTAGCCAAAGCTCAGAGTATCCTTGAAAGTTCTGTGCATATTCAAAGGCCTCATATACTGTACATGCAAAAAATTTAAATAAACATGCTGTGCTGAATAGTGTAGATTAAATAAGTTTAATAAATATAAAATTGCACTTGCAGTGAAGTGACTTGATCAGGGCATATCAAGAAAAGTAAAACATTCAAGGGACTACTAGTTGCTGCCAATCTGGAATGTCATGAATCTTATCTAAGATGAAAGTTCACTACTCACCACAAACAGAATCTTTCTGTCCAAAATAAGCTGCATCAAACAAATGATCAGCCGTTTTCTCAAAAGAAGCCAGCATCAAAACACTTTCCTTCATCTTAGCCAGGCCAAAGCGAGTGATCCCAAGCACTTCTCCCTTAAAAGGCAAAAAAAAAAAAAAATGTATGCAATCCGCTTATAACCATCAAACATACAGTAAATTAAGAGGGAAGTATAGACTTAAACATTTATACTCACCTAGGTACAGTTGTGACCAAAATTATTCAACCCCCACTGAAAATTGAGTGTTTTGGCCAGTTTGACATTGCTTTTGATCATTCAGTCATCTTGCTTACATTTACATTAAAGAGGCACTTGTAGGTCAGACAAATATAACATACAGTTATAATGAATAACCACAAATGTCTTTTCTGTGCTCACAGCATTATCAGTTTTATTCAACCCCCAAGTGACATTCAATCTTAGTACTTAGTACAGCATCCTTTTACAGTTATAACAGCTTTTAAACGTGAAGCATAGCTTGACACAAGTGTCTTGCAGCGATCTACGGGTATCTTCGCCCATTCTTCATGGGCAAAGGCCTCCAGTTCAGTCACATTCTTAGGCTTGCGCACTGCAACTGCTTTCTTTAAGTCCCACCAGAGGTTCTCAATCGGATTTAAGTCTGGTGACTGCGATGGCCACTCCAAAATGTTCCAGCCTTTCCTCTGCAACCATGCTCTAGTGGACTTGGAGGTATGCTTGGGATCATTGTCCTGTTGAAAGGTCCAACGTCTCCCAAGCCTCAGGTGTGTGACGGACTGCATCACGTTTCCATCCAATATCTCCTGGTACTGAAGAGAATTCATGGTACCTTGCACACGCTGAAGCTTCCCTGTACCTGCAGAAGCAAAACAGCCCCAAAGCATGATTGACCCTCCACCATGCTTCACAGTAGGCAAGGTGTTCTTTTCATCATAGGCCTTGTTCTTCCTCCTCCAAACATAGCGTTGATCCATGGGCCCAAACAGTTCTAATTTTGTTTCATCAGTCCACAGAGAACACTATCCCACAACTTTTGTGGTTTGTCCACATGGCTTTTGGCATACTGCAGTCGACTCTTCTTATTCTTTGGAGACAGCAAGGGGGTACGCCTGGGAGTTCTGGCACGGAGGCCTTCATTACGCAGTGTGCGTCTTATTGTCTGGGCTGAAACTTCTGTACCCACATCTGACAAATCTTTTCTCAGTTCCTCAGCAGTCACACGGGGACTTCTCTCCACTCTACGCTTCAGGTAGCGCACAGCAGTCGAAGTCAGCATCTTCTTTCTGCCACGACCAGGTAGCGTTTCAACAGTGCCCTTTGCCTTGAATTTGCGAATGATGCTTCCTAAGGTGTCTCTTGGTATGTTTAACATCTTTGCAATCTTCTTATAGCCATTGCCCTTCCTGTGAAGAGAAATCACCTCTTCTCTTGTCTTCCTGGACCATTCTCTTGCCTTCACCATGTTTGTAACCACACCAGTAAATGTCTAGAAGGAGCTGAGTATCACAGTCATTTTAAAGCTGCCTAATTGGTGCTTATTATGCTTGATTGCTGCTCGGTGACATCCACAGGTGTTTTCAATACCTGATGGAAAAGCACCTGTATGAACCTCTGTTCTTCAGAGTGGTAGTCTTTAAGGGGGGTTGAATAATTGTGGCAATGAAGAAACCACATAAGAACCATTTACTACTGTATTACATAAACAATTGATGTCATTTTAGTTGCATTTGGGTAGTTACAACGTCCTTGTAGGATTTGATTCTGAATACAATTCCAAATGTACACTATAGTCCCTAAACCCCTTTACAGCATTGGGGGTTGAATAATTTTGGTCACAACTGTAGATGCAGCATCGACCACTGACCGCTCCCTTTTCCCCTCCGCTCTGAGCAGAGAGCCACGACTGTCAGTCTCCAGCTCTCTGCTCCTCTAGCGCTCACTGGAATGTTGAGCTGTAGAGGGAGCGGCTGGCTTATGCTCTTGGCGCATCACTTAGAGCCTGAGCAGGTGCTGATCCAGGCTTCAAGGTGGATCCTGACCATATGGTCGGGATATTTTCAGAGCCTGGACTGGCTAAGTGACACCAGCCAATGGCAGGCTTTAGCCTGCTGTAGGCTGAAAACAGGACACAGAAGTGCAAAACAAACTGCATACTGTGACCTACAGGAGAAGCATAGTCAAAATAGCTTTGGTTATACTTCTCTTCTAAGGATTACAAGAACCATTTTGCATTATAAAAAGGAGGAAAAAAAAGCCCTGACTGCTTACCTTTCTAAAATGACAGTTTTTACAACAACATTCACTCAGATCAAAAAAGGTTATGGTTGCATTTTTGATCATAAATGATCAAGCCACCATTTTAATGTAAATGGAATATCAGATTATTGGAAGTAAACAAATTAAAAAAAAGGGATAAAATGGAGGACATATTTTAGAACAAATATGCATAAAATAGTAATTTTGCATGTGTACCGCTTTTGCAAACTAAACTCTACACTTTAAACCTACCTTGTAAGTCATTAGATCAGCCAGAAGCATGACGTGGCGTCTGTCAATACTCATCCCATGATTCACCATGGTGTACTGGATCTCATTTATAATTGTGGAGCGTGCAGCTTCTATACCAATAGTTTTTTCCACCTAAACACATATTAAATAATAAACCATCTTATAGAATAAGTGTAGTGCATTAAAATTGGCAAAACGATTTTTTTCAACTTACTGTAAAATCGTTTCTCTGGAGTGCATTAAGGCACACAAGCTGAAGTGTTCAGGTACATTAGGTTATGTTGCAGATTTCAGGAGATTGGACACTGGGTAAACAAAGTTGATAGGACAGCCCAGCATTGCTCCTTCCACTCCCAGCACACTCCGGGTTTTGCAAGCAATAGATGGAGTTGATCTATATCCCTTAACATACCCCAAAAGAAGATAAATTTTGACTTGCCTGTAAATTCTATATATTGGAGTACATGACACAGCATATTCATACACCTTGGGTTATAACAGTGTACTCTCAGGTGATTTGACACTGGCAACATTTTTTGAGGGTATGCCCACTGGGAGCCTACCGTATAAACCTACCACACGAAGAGGCCTCAATTTTTTTTTAGCAAGCAATGCAGAGTAAACCAAGGAATGGAAGGGACGGCAGCCTGTGTCTTGTACTGTACACCAAAGATATAGAATTTACAAGCAAGTTCAAATTCCTCTCATCTTAATCACACAGTACAGGACACTGGCAGCATAGTCATACACTATGGGATTCCATAAAGTGTTTCTTGAAAACGAGTTCAGCTAACCAACATTTTAGCCAGGGGATCCTGCACATGTGGATAAAAAGAAACCCCATCCTGGAAATTTAGCACAGAAAGTATCAACCAAGGAATTCACACAGTAGTGCAAAGCCACAGGCAACAGTCCCAGCTGACCGGACAGAAGCATCTGTAAGGACTGTACCAGGGTAACAGGCCATATATTTTTTTTAATCCAGACTACAATGGTCTGACATGACAGACAACCATGGCAGCAACAGCCAGTTGCATGGCGGGCCCTGCCAAGGAGAAGATAGCTTTAAAGAGTGCCTCTATCTACCAGATCTTCAAACATGCTAATATCTATGGGAGTCAGCTCATTAAAGCAGCAAATGGCAGAATCTACCACAGGAAATGCCCACTTACACAAAGATTTTCTCAAGAAGATACTGTTGGGCAAAATACTTGGGAGGAGAGTGTCTTCTTAGGGTTAGGCTATCACCACCTTCTGTGCCCGATGCAATCAGAAGATGGGCACTGGTCAGCGTGCAGAGAGGCAGAGATGGGCTGTTCAGGCTGAGAAACCACCTATAAGGTAAGGCAGTGCAAGATCACTTTACATCAGAATGAAAATAGGTACAACATAGCCACCACATCCTCCAGAAATACAAGTTCTCATGTAGAACAAGGACTCTCATGACTCCTGCCATCCTGGACAAACTGCACTCCTGGTGGAACAGTGGGAAACCCCCCCCCCCCACCTCACAAGGTTTAAAAACAAAAGAAAATAAACAAAACAAACATAACAACCCATACACAGAATTAATGTTTAAAGCACTTCTGCTCTGACCCGCTGCAGCAACATTGCAGACTGGCACCAAGTTTTCCATGCAGCGAGGTCTGGGTATGATCCTTGGTGGCTACAGAAGCTGCAAAAAAGTCATAGTCACTATGGTGCAGCCAAGTCTTGATTTAAGAATCACCATCCAAGACAGACAAGAAAGACTTCCAAAGGCAGGTAAGCATCTCTCAATGAAGAGGAGAGAAGAGGTCCATCACATATGGATATCCCAGCAGCTTTTTTTTTTGCCAGTGTCCAATTACCGGTAGCTGCATATAACCCAGTTGTAAGGATGCAATGAAGCCTGTGTAATGTACTGTGTGGTTACATAAAATGATCACATTGTGATTAATCACAAAGCATTGCTATGCATGAGCAATAAATAAATATATTATTTGCATAAACACTATGATTGAACACTTGGTAATCGGTAGTGGATTTGCTCATAAAAATCTTTGTATTTATTATTGTGTTTAAGTGTGATCGTAAACCAGTGACCTCCAAGTGCCCCCAAAACTTTCTGGTATTCAGATTACCTAAAGCAAAGCTGTGGGCTAAAATCCCTATAAAGTTTGAATACATGAAGCTGGAAAAACACCTTTTAATGCCTACACACCCTGTTGCTGTGAAATGAGCTTTAAATGAAATATAGGCTTACAGCTTAAAGTGGTTGTAAAGTAAAAAGGTGTTTTACCTCAACGTATTCTCTGCAGTAAAGTAAGCTTGTTTTATTCAGTGTGGAACCTAAGAGGTTAATCCTCCACATGTGTAAAAAAGGCGGTTTGATCCCATCTTCTCTGATCCTCCTTTTCTTCCACAGTCCCCAATCTATATGCTAATAGTACAGAGCCCTAGGAGGCACTCTGCACATCCTCAATTTAATGTGAATTGCAAGAGTTGTTTTTTTTTTTTGGAAGGGTGCATGTGATCAGCACAGGGCCAATCGGCACTGTCCAGATAGAGGGTCAGGGGTCATGCAGCCTCATGGGACAGTCAAAGGAGAATGAAAACTCCTCCTACAAGCTTTAACCAGTGCTTGCCTGTACACTGATAGAAGTCACAAGACTGCTATATACTGCTGATGAGAAAAGGTATTTAGCAGTTTATATTTACTAAAATAATTGCATTTCCATGTTGTGTGTACTGTAGAACACTGGATTTAATGAATGCAGGGTCCTGGGTTTAGTAACACTTTAAAGTAAAAAAAACATTCCACTTTCCCCCTCTCTAAACACTTCCCTGGCTCCTGTATCTATGCAGTGCTGAGTCTGGCTGCAGGTATTCTCTCCCTCTCTTCCTGGTCTCACAGGCTTTGCTGAGAGCAGTGGGAGCTATTGGCTCCTGCTGCTGTCAGTCAAATCCAGTGAGCAAAGAGGAGGGGGCAGGGCTGAGCAGCACTGTGTTTTGTCAATGTAACGCACACAAAGCCACACTCGACAGCAAGCTTGCGCATCTGCCCCCACAGCATGCAGCTTGCGATGGAGACATACAGTAGAGGAGGAGCCCAGAGCGCCAGCAGGAAACACAGAGACAGGAGGTTTGGGACTACTATTATTTTATTAAAAAAAGATAGACTTTACAATCTTTTTAATGGATAATGTAATAACTTAGAAGCCTACCTCATAGGTGTTGTTCGAAGTGGAGTGTGAGCCTTTAACCCCATGGGTAGCCATGACAGCACGGAGATTATCACCTTCAACCAAAAGTTTGTACTTTTCTTTTCCACTCTGTTCATCAATATGTATAACAGCACGTGCCACTTCAGGAATGCCTTGTACCACCACCTGCAAAACAGGATTAGAAAAATCTGGCAATTTTCTATTTTTTTGTCCCCTTACTGTACATAATATTGACTTTTAATCAGACTCTCCAAACTAAAATTAATTTGCATCATCTAAGGGTAACATTCATACATGCACAAGTGTTATGCTGAAAAGCATTTTAGAGTGGGTCATACCCGATGATACCTGGTCATACCTGGTGAAATGGAGTGCTCCGTTTATGAGACATTTCAGGACTTTGCTAAAACTTTTTATATTTATTTTGTTTCTACAACCACAACTAGAGGTTAGAGGAAGTCACAGGTCTAGAAATATTTACATAAATGATAATAATTTTATTGTAATTATATGTTTAAAGGAAATAAACACTATGTTTTGCAGAGCATAGTGCTGTGTCTCTTATGGATAGTGGCTTCAGACCAGGGATTAGACCCTGATAAATCTGTGCTATAACACTGAAGTTCCTTCAAGCAGAACTCCAGGCAAAAACGTTTTTCCCCCATGTCCTTGCTGCTGATCTCCTACCTTCACTGAATATGTCCTCCATCTTCTGGTTCACTGAGTAGTTGCTCTGAAATAAGTTGATGATTTTTAAAAAAAATCGTTAATCCCCTGTGGTTTCCGGTTTGTAAGACCAGTGGCTGCTATTCCTCCTATTCCACTGACCAGTGGTCATGGCACAGCCCCTCTGTAGTTCTGTCTCCAGGAAGCTATGATGTATTTCCTCCCTGCTTACTGTAGTGGGCGGAGTCAGACTCCTGGTCTGTACCTCCCACCCAGGCAGTGTTCTAATGACGACAGCTCAGGACACTCTGGGTCTGTCCTGCCTCCCATAGCTTCAGCCAGAAGTCTCTGCACCTCCTCCACTAGTAACAGTGTATACTCTATACATACTAGGGATGCACCAGATAATGGCAATCAAAAATAATGTTATTGCCATTTTGCCGACAGGAAAAAAGGTGCGGATAATGGCCACTGAAAAACGTGATTGTAATGTACAGCGCTGAGCAAACTGTTGGCGCTTTATAAATACTGTATAATAATAATAATAAGAATTTTGCCCACAATTTTTCCCGGGATTTGGCCATGATCTTACCCCATAACTTTATAGTGATATTGCCATGATTTTACTTGGAATTTTGCAACAATTTAACTGCTATTTCACCATGTTTAGGGTGCGTTTTTCTTAGGTTATGTGAATAAAAAACCCAATCAAAACCACAGCACATTTTTTTTATGCATTTTTGCTGTGTTTTCAATGCATTTCAGGCCTGGTTCACACCAATGCAGTTTGCATTTTGCCAGTTTTGCAGTGTGTTGTGTTTTTGCATGCGTTTTTTCAAAAAACAATTTTTTTGTCCTTCTGGTTGCTGGGCAGATTAAAAGCGCAAAATGCATAAAAACCGTAACATGTATGTTTTTGAAGCGTTTTTGCTGAATTTTCAATGGATTTCAGGCCTGGTTCACACCAATGCCGTTTGTGTTTTGTCCATATTGCAGAGCTTTTTGAACACAATTTGCGGTTTTTTTTTTTTTTTTTACCAACTTGTTGCTGGGCAGAGTCAAAACACAGATTAAGGCTCCATTAGAACTAGGCCATTTGAAATCGTGGGCGGAATCGCTGCACTTCTGCCTACGATTTAACTCACTGTGAAAATGCACAATCGTGTGTTCAGGTGCCATTCAATTTACTGGCACCTGAAAACGCAGGGTGTTTTTTGCGTTGCTACCTTTTTTGGCTGTCGCAAATCCCACAATTTTGTTTCCTCGATAAAAATCTCCCCGCATGAATGGCACCTGAACAAGCGATTGCACGTTTTCACAACGCGTTTTCAAATTGCTATTCCATCCACGATTTGAAACGTCCTAGTGTGAATAGAGCCTTAATCTTCATTTTTAAGTTGCTCAACAACAAGTTGTCTCAAACCCCCCCCCCCCCCACAAAAAAAAAAAAAAAAAAAAGCAGCAAAGAACAGGCAAACCCACATTGCATTTGTTTTTGTGTTTTTCTGAACCAGGCCTGAAATGCATTGAATTTTTTTTTTAAAATTCCACTAAATCAAAAAAAAAAAAAATACAACACACTGCAAAAACAGACAAAATGCAAACTGCATTGGTGTGAAACAGGCCTGAAATGCATTGAAAATGCAGCAAAAACACACAGGCGTGCTGAGGTTTTCAATCACATGACCAATGAAAAACGCTCCCTAAACGTGGTAAAATCGCGTCAAAATTGCGAGTAAAAATCGCAGCAAAATGATGGGTAAAATTGCAGCAAAATGATGGGTAAAATCGCAGAAAAAAAATCAAGTTACACTTACGGTAACGTCTTTTCCAGTAGTCTTTCAGGACAGCACCTTGAGAGACTCAGCTCCTCCCCACCTGAGGAAACCCCTCCACCCAAAATAAAAAGTTCTCCACTCCCCTCCGACCTCAGTTCTTAAAACGTACCTCCGGTCACCTGGGGAGACACAACATGAGCCAACATGACCATAATAAGACATTCTCGAATAACCAAATATCAACACTGGGTGGGTAATTGGTGCTGTCCTGAAAGACTACTGGAAAAGACGGTACCGTAAGTGTAACTTGATATTTTCCCTTTCGTCTTTCAGGACAGCACCTTGAGAGGATATGCGAGTACTCACCCCTCGAACAGGCTAACTGCTTGCAGTACCTTACGTCCAAAGGCTTGCTCCTGCACCGAGACCAGGTCGAGTCTGTAATGCCTTACAAACGTATCGTAGCTGGGACCAGGTTGCTGCCCTGCAGATTTGTCCTGGGGAAGCCCCTGCCAGCTCAGCCTGGGTAGTTGCTACTGTTCGGGTGGAATGCGCCCTGATTCTTTCTGGAACCTCTAGGCCCTCCGCTTGGTATGCCCCTGCAATCGCCAGCTTTAACCATCTGGCCAGCGTCCTCCTAGACGCTTTCTTGCCCTTCCTAATCCCCGTAAAAGAAACAAAAAAAGATCTGTGCTCCTGAACCCTTTCGTCTTTTCAAGGTACAGCAGCACACACCTTCTAACATCTAACAGGTTTAGTCTCGCCTGCATTTCCCCAACCGGGTCAGGAAAAGACGAGGGTAGCACTATATCCTGCTCCCTCTGGAACCTCTGGGCCACCTTCGGAATGAAGGATGGATCCGTCCTAAATACCACTCTATCTGCAAAAATCTGTAGATAGGGGGCTCTGACTGATAGGGCTTCTAGCTCGCACACCCTCCTTGCCGTGGTAATTGCCACTAAAAAAGCCGTCTTAATTATAAGGTCTCTTATCGGGCACGAATGGAAGGGCTCGAACGGGGCCTTAATCAGTACTCCAAGCACCTTTGCTAAGTCCCACATCAGAAAAGGTCTGGACTTTGGAGGTCTTTGCCTTGTCAGGGCCTTAAAAAATCTCCCTACCAGCGCCTCCCTGGCTAAGGGCGTCTTCAAGAACACGCTGAGGGGTGAAACTTGGTCCTTGAGCGTGCTGATAGAAAGACCCCTATCCGCCCCTGCTTGCAGAAACTCCAAAACCGATACCACGCTATGGGTCGCTACCGACGCCTCCTCGCCCCAGGCCGTAAAGCAACCCCAAATCCTGCTATAAATGGCCTGGGTCTCCTCCTTCCTGCTCGCCAGCAACATAGCTACCAACCTGGTTGAAAGCCCCTTTGCTAAAAGGAGCTGTTGTTCAGAAACCAGGCCGTCAGCCTTAGTCTCTCCAACCTGGGGCACAGGACCGGTCCTTGTGTCAGTAAATCCCTTCTTGGCGGTAATTCCCAAGGCGGCCGTGTGGCTAAGCTTGTTAGGTTCGCAAACCATGCTCGTCGTGGCCAGAATGGGGCGATCCGGATAAGCGCGGTTCTCTCTGACTTGAACTTCCTTAACACCAGGGGGAGTAAGGGGAGCGGGGGGAAAGTGTAGCACAGCGGGTAATCCCACCTCTGTCCCAATGAATCCGCCGCTTCTGATCTGTCCCCGCGGCTTAGGGAGAAGAACCTCGGAACCCTGTTTTTTTTTTTTTCCCCGAGGCAAAAAGATCTATCTCCGGGGACCCCCACTGCCTTACGATCGCCTGAAACACTTCTGCATTTAGGGCCCATTCCGACTCTCTGAGCCGAGTCCTGCTCATGAAATCTGCTGTCTGATTCAGTTCCCCTTTCAGGTGTACTGCGGACAGGGAAGCCAAGTTTTTCTCCGCCCAGGATAACACCACTACTGCTCGGGATCCGAGAGCCTTGCTCCTTGTCCCTCCCTGTTTGTTTGTATATGCTACCGCCGTAGCATTGTCCGTCATGACCCGCACGTTCTGGCCCCTGATCCTGTCTTGGAAGGAGCAGAGAGCCTCCCCTACTGCCCTCAACTCCCTCCAATTCGAGGATTCTCTTCTTTATCCTAAGGACCACTCCCCCTGAACCACTGCGTCTTCTAGGTGGGCTCCCCACCCCCGAGCGATGGCGTCCGTCGTAACCTCCCTAGTTACCGTGAAACACCACAACAGCCCCTGGGTCCCGTTGGCAGACCTTCTCCACCACCACAGAGACCTTTTTACACTGGGGGGAATAAGGACCTGGTCCTGTAAGGATTGTACCCATCTGTCCCAGACTCTCAAAACCCACAGTTGGAGAGGGCGCAGATGCAAGCCTGCCCACTGCACCGCTGGGATGGAAGCTGTTAACAACCCCAGCACCGACATGGACTGCCTCATTGTTACTGACCTGCTCCCCTGTAACAATCTGATCCCTCTGTCCAACTTGGCAAGTTTTTCCAAAGTTAAGGAGGTCCTCTGCCGCACAGAATCTAGAACGTACCCTAGGTAAATCGCTCTTTGGGAGGGAACGAGACAAGACTTTTGCAGATTTAAGAGCCACCCCAGATTCTCCAGATGGTCCCTCACTACGGCAATGTTCTGTTGTAGCTGGATCTCTGAGTCTGCGAAGAGCAGCAGGTCATCCAAGTAGGCTGTAACTGCAATCCCTCTTAGACGGAGGGGAACCAATGCTTCTGTCAGTATCTTGGTAAACACGCTTGGGGAAGAGGATAGTCCGAATGGCAGAGCCCTGAACTGCCAATGACGTACTCCTGCACCCCCTTGTACTGCCAGCCTGAGAAAGCGCTGTGAGGGTTCTGCGATGGGTACATGAAGATATGCGTCCCTTAAATCTATAGAGGCCATGAACGCTCCCGGCGGGAGTCCATGCGGAATTTTTTGTACCACACCAATTTGTTTAGGGGCTTCAGGTTCAGAATCAGCCTGAAGGCTCCCGACTGCTTCTGAACCACGAAAAAATGGGAATAGAACCCACTTCCCATTTCCGCTTCCGGGACCTTGACTACAACTCTCTGATCTTCCAAGTCCCTCAGCGAGTCCTTTAGGGCCCTTGGCAGGGCTGTCACAAAAAATCTTTCTGGCGGCGGCTCCGAAGACTCCAGCTGATAACCCCTTCTCACAATGTCTAAAATAAAGGGTCTGGAACCGTCGCTTCCCACTGTGGGAGAAAGGCCGCCAATCTCCCTCCCACAGGGAAAACCGAGTCAGCGTGGCTTCTGGGGCTGTTCAGGACGACGAAAAATCGCCCCCAAGACCTTCTCTGTCCCTCTGGCCTGAGACTCTGCCTTTTTGCCGGGCGTGATCTCTGCGTCACCACCTTCGGCAGCTTCCTTTTTTAGGGGGAAGGACTTTTTCCTGTCTGCCGTCCTGTCTAGGATTTCCTCCAATCCCAGCCCGAACAGGAAATCCCCTGTAAAGGGGATGCCACACAACTTAACTTTTGATGTGATATCGCCCTGCCATGTTTTCAACCATAAAGCTCTCCTAGCTGAGTTTGTTAGGGCCGCTGACCTGGCCCCCAGCCTCACTGACTCTGTGGAAGCATCCGCAATGTACCCCACACCTTGTAATAAGGTTTCGAATGAAGCCAAAATCTTTTCCTTGGGGGAATCGGCCACAATATGGGCCTGCAACTGTGTTAACCAGTATTCGAGATTCCTGGCCATGACAGTTGTGGCCATGGCAGGTTTCAGGTTTGACAGGGTTGAATCCCAGGCCTTCTTAAGGAAGGATTCCGCTCTCCTGTCTAACAAATCCGGCAAGACCCCCATATCCTCGAACGCCAGGTCCGTTTTCCTCGCTGTTTGTGAAAAGGCTGCGTCGAGCTTAGGGTTCTTATTCTTATTCCACACGGCCCCAGGATCCTCACAAAATGGAAACCTCCTCCTAAGAGCTCTAGAAAAGAAGGGCTTCCTTTCCGGGTCCTGCCACTCTTTTTTGATGGTATCAATTAAGATCTCATGCACCGGAAAAACTGTGTGCCTTTGTTCCTCTAACCCCCGATACATCTGATCATGCAAGGACAAGGTCTTGACTTCCTCCTTTATGTCTAGGGTTTTGTATATGGCCCCTAAAAGGTCATCTACCTCCTTTAGGGATAACTTGTACCGAGACGGGCCCCTGAACTCATCTGAGGGACCCTCCCCAGCTGACTCCTCTTCCGAATGGGAATCCCCAGAGGGTTCCTCGTCCTCCCGTTATGACGAGATCCCTGCTCCGACCTGCTGAGGCCACCGGGGGGGCAGGGGGCTGACTGGGGAGCGGCTAACCTTTCCATAATACTCTTGAAAGAGTTGAAGGTATTGGTCAGCTCCTTCACTGACCTGACAAAGTCACCCTGCTCAGGCCTCTCTTCCTAACCCTTCAATGCAAGGGCCGCAAAGAACCTTCCTCCAAGATTCCTTTAACACAGATTTGCAGGACGGGCATCTGCGCTTAGGCTCATGATGCTTAAGCTTCTCCTTGCCCTGAAAGACAAAAAAGGGAGCAGAAAGAGAGCCTATCACCCACTGCCATTCACTCCCCTGTCCCCCCCCCCTCTTCCTTCCCAGCAGGGCCTAAGGGCCTGACACCTTTCCACAGGACCCACTCCCTGCCCAAGAAAGACCCTCACCACCAGAGGGTCCGGGAATACCCCAGGAGCTAGGGGCCACCAGGTAGGGGAAGACTCCTCTGTGTCACCTTACCTGAGACTGGCTGGTGCTGGCATCCCCTGGTCCCGGTGCATCCGACATCCTTCCCAGGAGGGTGGTCGCCTAGTGCGGTAGCTTGTCCCCCAGGCTGTTCCGCTCCGCACCGTCATTTAAATTTTCGCGTGCCGCGGTGTCTAGGGCCGCGGTGTCTAGGGCCGCGGCCGGAAGCGGAAGCCCCATCCGGTGGATTTGCCATCTCCTGACATCCGGCCCGGCGAGTTCCACTGACCGCCAGCATGGGAAGGAGCGGGACTCCTCCCCGATCCTCACCGCGGCCGCCCCAACTCACCGGAGGGGGCCGGGGGGCGAAAAGCAGGTAGGTGCTGCCCCCTCTCCCCCAGGGTACACGCTCACTGCCCGGCAGCAGGCCTGGGGAGGATTGCAGCCGGACACTCTGACCTTCACTCCCAGCTGCCCTGAGTCTCCCAGCCGGCTCTCCGACCCTCGACTCAGCCCTAACCTGTCTACCTGACAGCACCTTGCGCTTCCTCACGTGTCTCCCCACCGGAGGAAACACCTGAACTGAGGTCAGAGGGGAGTGGAGAACTTTTTATTTTGGGTTGAGGTGCTTCCTCAGGTGGGGAGGAGCCGAGGTCGCTCAAGGTGATGTCCTGAAAGACGAAAGGGGAAAATTTCGTGTAAAATCACGGCATAATTCCGTGTAAAATCACGGCATAATTCCGTGTAAAATCACGGCAAAATTCCGTGTAAAATCACGGCAAAATTCCGTGTAAAATCACAGCAAAATTCCGTGTAAAATCACAGCAAAATTCCGTGTAAAATCACAGCAAAATTCCGTGTAAAATCACAGCAAAATTCCGTGTAAAATCACAGCAAAATTCCGTGTAAAATCACAGCAAAATTCCGTGTAAAATCACAGCAAAATTCCGTGTAAAATCACAGCAAAATTCCGTGTAAAATCACAGCAAAATTCCGTGTAAAATCACAGCAAAATTCCGTGTAAAATCACAGCAAAATTCCGTGTAAAATCACAGCAAATTCCGTGTAAAATCACAGCAAATTCCAGTGTAAAATCACAGCAAATTCCCAGGTAAAATAGCAGCAAAATCATGTAAATATGCAGCAAAATCTCATGTAAAATCCCAGGTAAAATGGCAGCAATATCCTTGGTGAAATTGCGAGTATAATCATGACAAAATGCATTTGTGTGAAAAAATGTGCTGCGATCGTGGCAAAAATGCCTCATGTTTTCAGGTGGCATTGAAATGAATGGCACCTGAACTTTTTCAGAGAGTTTTCAAATCGCGGACAGAAGTACGTTGATTCCAGCCGCAATTTGAAACGCCCTAGCGTAAATGGAACCTTATGTCCAGGTGCTTTGTTCCTGTTCTGTTGTGCCTGGGGATGTGATCACATGGAAGCATACAAGCAGCAGCGGCTGTTCGAAAAATAGGAAGAAGAAATCTAATATTTAATTCCAGCAGACAAAAGCGGATAGACAATATAATTCTGGGCATGTAGCCATATTTATTCTGGGATTAAAAACAGAATGTCAGGGCAATTAGTTCCTATGCTGTTGTGATTGGAGGGCGAGTGATCACATGTGAGGATAGCAGTGGCATCCGGGGAATGTGTGGGCATGTTTTCTGTTGAAGTGGGCAAACACATTCAGCAAATACAGACCTAGTGTACCCGCCCACACTCACTGCAACTCCCAAAGATTGATGGGAAGTGTAGTTTCCTGAGAGGAGAGGATATAATGTAATCCCAGCTGTTATACTTCCTCCTTGGCAGAGCAGATGCTGTTATTTTTTTAATTAAAGAAAGGACTTCCTAAAAATTAAATTAGACTTTTTTCTTTAATGGTAAGGAATTTCACAAATGTATTAACTATTTAATGTTTTGTGTTTTTGCCTATCCGGGTGTTGTTCTTTCAGTCTGCTCCACGCCTCATAACCTTAGTCTCACATAAACCATTCACTGTGACATAAAACATATTTAAAAGGAAACGGTCCTCTAGATTTTGAGGCCCAATAAAGTCCAATCACTTAATATTGGCAGCCTAGATTTCATGCTGTATACGCAAAACAAAAGCATTGGAATAGTGACCCAATTACCTTTACGGAAAATGTGGCATTGGCACAAGGATATTGATTTTGCATACTTTTATGTAAACAAAATTAATGCTACTCCCACTAGATTTAGGTTTTTCACTGCAGAGCAGCAAAGGAGACAGATGAAATTGTAAAAAGAAAAAAAAAATGCATAAAGCGCCACTGGATGGCAAGGATAGATACCATGAAAGACTACATTCATATGCAAAATATTACATTTTTGTATTTATTTACTTAAGGTTTTAGACAAGTTTTATTCATGGACAAGGTAACCTTCTGCTGTACCATAAGATAGACAACATAAGATATAATATAGCTTTTTTCAGGTTTTTTTATTCTTTGTACGTAACTTGTTTACTAAAATAAAACAAAGTAATTCTTTAAAGGAGAACTAAAGGCAAAACTTTTTTTTTTTTTGATAGAGTGAAGAGGGATTAGAACACTTGTCAGTTTTTGTTGCCATCTGTGCCTCCATTAAGGAGATACACCCTCTCTATCTGTCCTGTTTACCATCATCATTGAAAGTAAAAGAAAATCCCAAATTGTGTGATTGTACCAAGAATGGTAATAGAGGGGAAATCTTCCAATGGGGACACTAGTTCTGGTGACATGGGGATCCACAAGGAACCTTAATATGCAGGGATTGTGTTGCATTGTACATTGCCAGCGGAGAGCATGGTTGTGGGTAGGATTCAGGGAGGGGAGTGGACAGAAGGCCGGTGAACTTGCATAAGGAGAGGAAGCTACAGTGCCTAGTCTTTATTACAAATACCCCCCTGCATGGAGGCAAATAGCAGGAGTTTTTTTATGGGGGTTACTGCACAGTCTGAATGAAAGACACAAAGGATACCACAATATAAGAAAGAATACCCTCAGGACACTCACCTTTGGCAATTCCTCTTTCAGTGACTGCAGGACATAGTACATGGAACTCTTATTATTCTCTCTTGGTGTGACACACAATACAGCCTCTCCATGAACTGCAATATCTCCAGGCTTTACACGGAGCTTAGACAGGCAGATTGAGTATCTTACAGTCTCAGCATTCACCTGGAAAAAGTAAAACCAAAAAAACATTTTCTTAAAAAGGGTGACTGCACAGCCGTTTCCTTAACATTAAAAAAAAGGCAGTATTTAGATTCCATTACCTCAAGCCTCAACAAGCGGATACGTTCCAGTGAAAGCTTCACCAGTAGGAAACAATCATCAGGAAGAAACACCTCCTCAATGTACTCTGATATCTGGAAAAGAGTTAGATTTTTAAAGTACAAAAATTATTTCTATTTATTAGAGCCCATGTGAGACACATCGACTCATATTATGGGCCAGCCGAGTATAACCCCTTCTACACCTATCATGCCTCAATTTTGAGATACAGCAGTACCAAAAACAAAATCATAAACACAGAAGGGCCTATCTTCCTCAATGGACTCCAAGATATAGATTTTATGGTAAATAAATTAATCTTAATTTCTCCTAGGCCATAAACTTAAATAAGCCACTGATAAATGGTGGAACATGTAACAACCCCCCCCCCCCTTATAGGGACAATCAGGAATACTTCTGTAAAGACTTTTGAAAAGTCTTTTGATTGGATACAGTGGCCGCAAAGTCAACCAACTACTCACACTACCATTCAGAGAATGCTGGGAGGTCTCATGATGGACTGAAACTGGATGATGGGATGCAAGAATGATGTCCAGGTTAATGTGCAAGGCTGAAACTATTGTAGAAAGGAAGCTTTAGGTCTTAACAACACCTTTTTCCTGTGTAAGACCATAAAGGGTACTTTAGAGGATAAGGCTGCCAGGAGGGGCCACTCACCTTGCAGAAGTAAGGAAAGGGGTAGATCAGGCTGTTCTGATCCTATAGAGCAACCAGGGTGGCTGCTTCTGCTAAAGGATCGCTGTACGTGGAGGCAATCCTTTCCAATTTGTTGTTGAACCTGAAAGCCATAAGGTTCATATCTGCCGTTCATCACCTGTGACACAGGTCCTTAAACACCTCTGATTGCACGGGCCATTCCCCGAATCATGGTATGCAGATGAAGTCTGCCTGCCAACTGTCCATGTCTGAGATGTAAAATGGCAGGCAAGGTAGGAACATTACATTTTGAACCAAGACACAATTGAATTTACCTCTCTGTAAGACTTACGGTTTCTGCCTGATTGTTGCTACTGCCGTGGTGTTGTTCAACTGACTCTAGATTGGATGACCCTCCAGTCGGAATGTTTGCATTTCAGAAGGTTGAGCAGATGACAGGATTCATGCAGCATTCATGTCTTTGCACCAACGAGGTGCCCAGGACTTACCTCAGCCCTATAGGCTGGTATTTGTTTTGAAGATCTTTCAAAATACTGGAAGGAAGGACTTCAGACTCCAGAACCAGATTCCAGAGCTGCTAAACCACAGACCACCTAGTCTTTGGTGCCAGACAAACTGGTCTGTTTGAGGACTGAACTGACTTGTCCCATGGTAACAGGATGTTGTGTTGAAGAGGTCTGGTGTGGAACTGGACAAATGGTACTGCTTTGAAGAAGGCTACCATCTGCCCCAGAAATCTCATACACAAGCCAAGAGTCTAAGTAAAGAGTTTGAAGTTTCTCCCTAGGAGGGATACCCTGCTTCAGAGGGCCCACTAATGCTGCATGGAGATCTGTTAATCTGTGCAGTGACTCAGGCAGAAAAGTTACAGCTAAGCCAGAGAACATTCTAGAAATGGTCACCAATCGATTGTCAATAGCGCCTTTAAAAACAGGTGCATCCTTCACACGAATGCTTAAGCTTTGTCAAAACTGGATTCTGTCAGATCCAGAAGGGGTAATGTACTTTTTTAACAAAGTTCTCCTTAAATAGGTAAAAGGCTGATAGCGGTTTTGGTTGGGTTGTAAGAGTTCTTTAAGTTGCCATAGAGAACAACTGCGATTTACAGGTGAATCGGATAGGTCTTGGTAATTTTGGGGACTCTAAAGGAGCCTAGACTGAGTGCTGCACTGGTGGAATTACGGGAGGATCCTTGAAAAGTGGTACATATAATGTAAACCAATGAGACCATCTCTAAGTTTGGGAGTAATGGCAGAAGCCTATGACTTCTCATCCATCAAGGACTTGAAACTTGGCATGAGAGATAGATCCTGTCTCACGTGGAGTCGTAAGTTGTTGAGGGCTCAGACTGTTAATGCCTCAGTTAGATCAGACACAGATTCTGCAGGGGAAGGCTTGGAAGCAAACTTGTGGCTTCTGGGGGTCTTAATCAGCAGACAAATGTGTTATTGACCCATAAACTCCTGCAAAATGGAGGTAAAATCCTCCTGAGATAGAGGCAAGAAGAGGCCATTCCCAACAGAGCAAAGACTCCTAGGGCAAAATTCCAGGCCGTCAGTGTCCTAGTACCTCAGGGGACAACCTGTAGGCAGCACTTTAACAGTTAGTGGAGCTTGAGCTAGAAAGACCCACACAGCAGGACTGCTCTGAAGTTAGGATCCAACCTGTTGCACAACAAGGCAGGGACAGCATAGTTTAGGCTGCAAGGCTTCAAAAAAACCCCAAAAAAGCAAAAACCCCAAAAAACACAAAAACCTCACAAATCCAGTTGCTGGGTAGCAGCAGAAAATGGGCTTTGAAGCTGACCAAGTCAGTGAAGGTGTCGAACTGAGTCAATGCTACATGACGAGGGAAAAAAAGAAAAGAAAAAGAAGAGTATACTGCATGCAATGCTCAACCTAGTGGATGATGCCAACACCTAATCCCTCAGCAGTCCTGACAACGAGGAAGCTCTCGCTGCTTGGTGTACTCACAAAGCGAGTCTTGAAAGACAGGGTCACATCTGGCACTGTGCTACTGCTTTGGACTTAGCAAACACTTCATAGTTAACTTAAAGTGTTACTAAACCCACAACAGTAAAATCAGTCTGTATATGCAGTAAAGCATGCTTGTTATACTTACTGTGGAACCTAAGGGGGTTAATCTTCTGCATTGTGTAAAAATGCTGTTTGATCCTGACTTCCCTGATCCTCCCTTTTTCTTCCCCCCCAGTGTAATTTGTGTGGAGTCACCCCCCTTATCTTATGATAGGAGATTATTTTTTGTGTGGAGTCACTCTGCACAAGCTCAGTCAGGGGTGTGTATTGCTAAAAAAGCAGATGAAAACTTCTACAAACTTTAACCAGTGCTTGGATTCTGATAAAAGTCACAAGACTGCTTTAACTGCTGATGATAAAAAGTATTTAGCAGTCAATATTTACTAAAATAATGACACTACCATGTTCTGTGTACTGTGGGATACCATACTGTATATAGTGAATGCAGGGTCCTGGGTTTAGTAACACTAACTGGTACACTGCGATCTGAAAAGTGCTACAACACATCGCACAGTGCTCAAAGATCACATTTCGATTGTTTAAAATATAGGACTCCGACTCAAAAACAACTGATCCTCACAAAGCACCAAACCTCTTACCTCTCCTAATAAGGTCTTCTCAATTCTACCTTTCACCAGACGAGCAAAGTCAGAGTCATCATCTATATCTAGATGAGCGGTAATGATTGGTGTGCTGAAGTAAATGGAAAATTAGTGTTAATACCCTGTTTGATGATCTGGTGTTTGCCTAAGAAAGAGCACCTGACAATCATCACAATAAGTCTAATCAGACCTCCACAATTTTGTACAGCTTTAAAATAAAAGAAAATTATACTTTAAACATTAGACAAAATTGTCAGTGTTATTCCTTATATACAACTTGGACCTTAGTAACCTAGCAAGTCACAGCTTCAGACTGGACATTCAAACTGTTCATGTGCTAGCACCTTATCACTATTAAATCTAAACATTTATAAACATGGACATCGGTACACATACCTAATGTTCTTTGAGGCATTGATGATTTCCTTGATACGGGGCACACCCAATGTGATGTTCATGGAAGCAACACCAGCAAAGTGAAACGTTTTCAGGGTCATCTGTGTTCCTGGTTCTCCGATGCTCTGAGCACAGAGAGCTCCCACAGCCGAACCTGGTTCCATCTGTGCTCTGGGGAAAGAAATGAATACCCATCAATAGAACTGATGCAGACTCTACTGACTAGACCCCAACAGATTGCTTTTAATTATGACTGAAGGACAGGTGCACTATTAGTACAAAGTATCTTAAGCACTCTAGCTAGACATCCTAATCAAAACTAACCTGAAGACCCTCATCACGCTGCTTGTTTACTTCAGCATAACAGCAGCAGTTGTTTAAAACCCAAGAGCCAAAGAGTCCATGCTAGCTGTGTTTGAGAAGTGAGCTTCCATAAATGTGAACGGGCTCATACCCAGAGTGTATACAATCACAGAGTACGGTTCCACTCAAAAACTGCGCAGGTGCAGCCAGCAATGAAAATTGTTTCAGTCAAGAAGATGTAAACAGCTGAAGAAGCAGCAGCTTTTCTACTGAGGTGAGTAATCAGCTAGGAGGAGGATCCTAGGTTAGGAGGACTACAGAATATATTTTGTTATCTTAGTACATAACACATCAAAGGAAGTTTAAAAAAGGTACATAATATTGATTTCAGTACCTAAAAAAACACCAAATGTTCTGATGTGCTGGCAGTGATCATTGTATATCCTATTCTGAGATTTCCCAATTCATTAATGAACTCAAGCTGCTTACAGAAGTCTTACTGAATTCAGAAGTGTTCATTGTAGGCATCAAATACATCAATTATGAATGGCATATAGCTAGACAAACATGCTAGAAAATGTACCAGTAGACAAACATTTCCAAATTTCTCTACTGCGTAGTAAAATCTAATATTCATAATGAACACAACAAAATAAGAAAACTGCTTTTGCACGGAATTACAAGCATTTCCAACTCATAGAAATTCACTTATCTATTAAAAAACATTTTGCTATTTATAATGCCCTAACCCAAATAACAGCTCAATCAATCCGTGGGCCCACAGCATAAACAAATTGCAATCTGCTTTAATGTTGGTTGAATTTACCTGCCATAAGTAAAATAAAGGTATGTCTAAACTCTAAAAAGCAAGTGGTCTTTTTTAACCACTAGCCTACAGGGCACTTATACCCTCTTCCTGCCAAGGCCAATTTCCAGCTTTCAGCGCTGTTGCACTTTGAATGACAATTGCGCGGTAATGCAACATTGTACCCATATGAAATTGTTATTTTTTTTGTGACAGAGCTTTATTTTGGTGGTATTTAATCACCACTGGGTTTTTTTTATTTTTTCTTAAACCAAAAACCACTGAAAATTTTGAAAAAGTTTAGTTTTTTTATAAAATTTTGTAAATAAGTGATTTTTCTCCTTCACTGATGTGCGCTAATGAGGCTGTAGTGATGGGCACTGATAGGCTACACTGATGGACACTGATAGGTGGCACTGATGGGCATTGACAGCCATCACTGATGGGTACTGAAAGGCAGCACTCATATGGCACCGATAGGCGGCACTGATAGGCAGCACTGATGCACACTGATAGGCAGCAATGATAGGTGGCACTGACTGGCACTGATGGGTGACACTGAAAGGCAGCTCAGATGGGCAATGATATGTGGCATTGATGGGCACTGAAATGTGGCACTGATGGACACTGGCAGGTGGCACTGGTGAGCACTGAGAGCTGGCACTGATGGACACTGACAGGTGGCGCTGCTGGGGCTATACTGATCATCAGGGCACACTCATCATCAGTGCTCTGATGATCTGTGTACATGTCCCCTCCGAGGAATGCCGATTACCGGCTCTCCTCTCCTCACGAGCTGTCAGCGTGGCAGCTCTTGGGGAGAGAAATGCTGATAACCAGCATTTCCCTCTTTACATTTGATCAGCTGTGATTGGACACAGCTGATCACATGACCGAGCCGATATCTTCGGCTTTCCGTGGATTGGTGATCCGCTGTGTCCGAGGGACACAGCTCACCACCGATCGCCATGCTGTGCGCTCCAGGAGCCATGCATGAGTGATTAGAATGGGAGGACGTCATATGACGTCCTCCCAGAACGAGAGAACCACCTTGCATCCGTCATATTACTATATGGCGGGCAGGAGGTGGTTAAGGTTTGATTTTAATTTGTTTTGAAGTTCAGCAAGTCCAATTCCAACAACTTCCATCACAGAGGTGATTTGTAGCTAGGTAGTTATGCATTATATGTAACCTGCAACTCTACAAGACAAAAACAGCTGTAACACATTGAGATTTGTAGCTATGTTTGGCTTAGATAAAATGTTGACACTACTACTTACAAGATATAGTTTTATTGTCCAAAAATGAAGAAATCAATGGAATTCAAGAGCCGCATTACCTCATATATTTATCCCGACAAGTCTCCAAAAACTTTTCCAGCTGAGTAGGGGTGATCCTGTCCAACTGGTACAACACTCGTGGCTGCACAAAGATAAAGGATAATATTGAAAACCCTCTAAATCAAAATCCTATCATTTTTAGGGGCTATTGTACAAGTTAATATATTACTGGGTGAACCCTTTAAAATAAGGCTACCAGGTTTTCAAAATTTGGGTAAACCCTCATCACATCCACTTAACCATGCCTCCAATTTGTAGACTCACATACAAAAATTACTCCCCAATTTTTAACATGTCCTTAAACAACTGGTCACAGACATTTGGATCAAGAAGCAGACATTTTGAAAAAGAGCATAAAGACAAATTTCTCTAACAATTAGAGAAAGGATGTGGTGAGTGGAGAATATGGGTTAATAATGTACAATGCATGGAGCGCAGCATGTAGGGGTCAGGAATACATAATATACAGGCCAATGAATACAGTGGAACCAAAAATAACCCTCCCCCACCTTCTAATCCCTCCCAACACACAGCTCTGTGTTGCATTTGATATAAATATGTCTGTTTTATGATTTTCCCCCCCTCAGACCTACATGAAAGGATCTGTTTGCTAGTTTGCCTTAGAAACATATGAGTCTTACAATCTTCTCAAACAAATGCCTTGGTAACAATTACACAAGCAATCTTCTACAACAATAAGAACTTAGATACCATTGTTGTATGTTGGGCTCTTGTTCTACATTTAATTATGTAACTGAAATCAACAAGCCAAGATAATCAATGGTTAACAATAGCTTGACCTTCTGACATATACTGTATGACCTATGTCATGTAAGCATCTAGAGGTTGAATTGAAGAATGTTTCTGCCATTGGTGAGGATCGTGGCGTCAGACCCCAGCCCTTCTCAACAAACTCGTGACCGAAGGACTAGCCAATCTAAAACCGCGCTGTCACGTGCGTAACAATGCCACGCCCAGCTGCACCCTGCACAAAGTTTTTCCAGCTAATGGACCACAATCTGTGTACCTGCAGCCTGGGAGCGATTGTTACTGGGTCAGGTTAATTACGCAATTAAGAAAGGCAAGAAAACGAGCATACCAAACTGACTGGAAAATGCTATTATCCTAAAGAGAGGAAGAAAGTTCAGGTAAACAATCCCCACAACCAGTTAGGATGATAACTCAATTTGGAGCATAATGGGGGGGGGGGGGGGGGGGGGGGGAGTAAAACATATACTGGCAAAACATTGGAAGATTCTTACACAATGTCCCACTTTAGGTAAAATTGTAGGTGACCTCCCATTAATGGTAGCGAGGAGATCACCAAATCTTGGTGATTTACTTATTCACTGATTATCAGCCATTAAAACAAACAACATGGCTTACGCCACGCACAAAAAGGGATGTTTAGAAAATGTCAGATTTGTAAATTTGTAGATTGTACTGATAGGTTCTCTGATTCAAATAAGAAGGCCCATTTTAAAATTCAAAGCCTTATAAATTGTTCTACAGCCAGCGTACTATATATGTTGACTTGTCCATGTAAAAAAATGTATATTGGTAAAACTAAGAGACAGCTTAAAGTACGAATAGGTGAACACTTTAGAGATATTAAATCGAATGATCCTGAAAGTAATTTAGCTCAACATTATGCTAAGTATCATGGGGGCAAACTAGAGGGCACAAAGTTAAAGGAATTTATACACTTAATTTTCCGCAGAGGAGAGGTGATTTTGATAGAGAACTTTTAAAACGTGAAAAACATTGCATATATAAACTTGACACTGTCGCCTAAAGGGTTAAATGTTGAATTTGACCTTCAAGTGTTTTTGCAAAATAGGAAAATCTGTAGTGTAAAATCTGCTCCTGCCACCTATTGGTGATGAGCCACTGAGAAATCCATCTAATTAACATTAAGTAAATGTAAGAATATTTCCTTCCCACTGTGAAGCCAGATATCTGTGTTATATGACCAGTTATTTGCTAACTATTTTAGTTTTGTTTCCATTGAGTCAAATTGCCACCAGCTGATTTACATATATGGGCGGTAACAAGCCCAGTACAAATTATGCATGGAGGGTAGGCATCTCATTGGTCCTGACAAAGCTGAGTAAGATACGCCCATTGGCGCAATGTGTTGACGTCATATGTCACATCTGGTTGGACGCATTGATGCCGCACACGCAGCCCTTCATGGGAGGCGGCAACACACGCTGGCAAACGAGCGGTGCTAGGCTGCACCAGTACCAGGACAGGAGCAGAGCCCGTTCACTTCAAGTCCCGATGGTGGCGGCTGTCTCCGGGACTATAGGCAGTTACCCAGACGGAGGAAACTGTGCACGAGTATCACCTAAAGCATGGGTGGTGAGTGATACGCAGCACATGTAAACAGGAATACGGCGTATGTACGCCATTGCATATTCACCAAAGTGACTCACTAATTGACTGCCTATATGTCACCTATTTCAGGATGGGGACATCATGTTATTCTGCATAAAGGTGCATAGTACCCCATATTCACTACCAGGCACAGATGATCCTGTATTTTACATCATTGCATCATTTATAAGGAGGTGTGCAGCCCCCATGTTGCGGTGAAGAACCCCCTTGTGGCAGGGCCCTGCCATTTCTAGAACACTGTGGAAGTCATATGGTGGTATAACCATGGCTATCAAGTTCATTTTGATTAAGATTATGGACATGACTGCTACTGTTTGACATCTC